TGTGTGTGTGTGTACCTGTCAAGTTTGTAAACAATATAAAGTTAGCTGATGAGGGGCAGAACGAGCCCAAAACATGTAATATAATATGCGTATCAGCTAAATAAAGATGAAAAAATGCCAAGTGTTTAAATTTGTCACACTTAATAGTGTTTGAGCAACATTGAAATGAATAACAAAAACAAGTTTTCACCTTAAAAATTCTAAAATAAATTTTAATATTTTATTTAATTATTTAAACAATTTCTCTCCTTTTATATAAAAAACGTAATTATTAACAATCTTTTACAAGAAATCTGAAAAGTCACCATACACACTAAATCAGATTGAAATGGAATAAACCATAAATCTGAGTTTTTTTATTATTAGCATTTTGATAGAACCCTGCCCACTAGTTTGAATTGAACTGGAAATATCATTCCCTGTTGGACAGAATGAAGTGGCTTACCACAAATTAACCATATTTTCACTGATTCTGAAGCTGTGTACAGGTGTTCTGCAAGCATCAATCACTTCAAACAAGTACTCTACTTGTTTGCTCTGTTTCTGTTTGCAATTACATTTTTTGTCATTCAAAATAAAAGATAACAAAAAGTTAATTTAATTCAGTAGTACTCAATTATTTACATTTCAGACAAATATTTGGCTGTTATTTTCTAACTGACATGAATTGTGAACCCCACTTTTGATCTAGCATGAAGATAAAATTTATTTGTGTTTGTAGGGTTTCAATTCCAATCAAATTTAATGCAGAAACCTTAAGAGACTATAATATCAAAATAAACTTCCAAATTACAAAAAATAATTTGACTGGACTTCAGAAAACTTACCTTATTATACCTATCTTGAGGTACTAGCTGCAAAATGATTGGTTCCATTGTTGTGACATTTCCAAATCGAACTTCTGGTATGTAAAGAGCACATACAACATGGGCCCAACCTAAAAGATTTAAAATAAAATTATTCCATTATTATAGTTTAACACATTTAAAAAAGATCCTGCTAATAACAGAATTTAAATTATAAGAAGAATAAGCAGTTGGCTATATAGTTGAATTAGTAAAGGTAGGTCTATTCTAAGGAGCCAGGTTCAACCTAAAAATCAGAATATAGAAATTTTCATAGGTAGTTTGAGTATATGTTGATCTCCAACCTTTACCACCTGACCACCTCCATTATGGAAAACATACTTTAATTCTAATATGCATTTTTAAAACTATTTTTATATATCCAACGTAGAGCTCAGCCTTAAGACTGATTCTCATTTATGATGGCTTGCTTCCACAACAACTTATTGATGCAGAAGCCATAGTGTTATTCTCATATTGTAGCATGTTGCTGAATGACATATACAATATATGTTGAATTTGAATTGGCATCAAATTTGGTATTAGATGATGCTAATATAAATGATGCTTTTGCATTGTTCAATACTCAATTTTTCCACTTGCAATAAAAGTTGAGCTTGATCCAATTTGTAAACATACCCCTTTTCCCCTATAGTCTGATGTCACAATGGGTACTACATCAGGACTTTGCAACTTAACATTGCAGACTCCGTTGTATTGAAAATCAGTCTTTATATTCACAGTCCAAAACATTAGAAATCATTGTGAGCAAATCACTTAATGCATTAAGTATCAGTAACAGACATTTGGCTACAATGATCTATCTTCATGTCATTTCAAATGAGCTTTTCTAGTAACAAATCTTCAATTTAAAAGTCTCTTTTAACATGTAAAATGCTTCAAAGATCATATTATGATGCAGTAGTAAAATAAAAAGCCATCATATACATAAAAGAGCACAGAAATAGAGCTGTCAAACCTTACACATTCTGATGTTCTTTTACTGCTTTCCTAACTCTTTACTCAGCTAAACTTAGTAAAACTGACTATTAAACAATTTTTCCTTTGATAAAATCTTAATATTTTATTTCAAATTCATGATATGCCTTAAAATGGAAAAAATACAGTAATTAAAAAATAACATTTGTTTTTTCTAGAAGTCAAGAACCTTCAGTTCATTAGCTAATTAGAATTAAAAAAGCTTTAAAAATATCAGTCTTTCAAAAGTATTTAATAAAAATTCTTGACTTTTAGAAAAATATATATTTATTTTTAATAAAAGTTGAATATTCCACTGAATGAAAAACTTTCCTAGATTTTTTGTTTAAAATTAAATATTGTCTTTTTAATAAAATAAAATGGAGAAGACACTGAGATTGGCGTTACATGTATGTTTTCTTATCACAAGCACTTTCAACGAACTTATAGTCATTGTCATCAAGCGAATACAGAGATTTACCGAAAAATTAAATGGAAATAATCTGATGTAGAATAGAATGCATAAAATTTAGGTTGAAACTTTTGTCAAAGCCGTTAAGAACAGGAAACAAATATTCAAATATAATTTAGAAACCAAACGAGCAGTTAGCTCTGTGAAGTGCAAGTTGGCGCATGTGCAGAACCAGGCTCACACTATATGCATACTGGAGAATGCTAATACTTGCTTAAATGCTTGTATAGCATGACCTATACAAGCACTGGGCAGATCGAGCGTTGGGGTGTTGCACGTGCCCAAGGTAGTAGTAAGGAGAGATTCCCATATGAAAACGATTTTTTGATCCTTACAGCTCTTGAGCATAACCGCTTAGGACAATAGCGGGTTGTAACTCTGTTCAAGTACCTTTCTTGCGAGCTCAGTGGTGTGCTTGTATAGCATGACCTATACAAGCACTGGGCAGATCGAGCGTTGGGGTGTTGCACGTGCCCAAGGTGGTAGTAAGGAGAGATTCCCATATGAAAACGATTTTTTGATCCTTACAGCTCTTGAGCATAACCGCTTAGGACAATAGCGGGTTGTAACTCTGTTCAAGTACCTTTCTTGCGAGCTCAGTGGTGTGCCTACCCCTCACATCATCTTGGTGCTCTTCAAGGCGGCTGGCAAGCATTCTAGTAGTGGCCCGATATATCTTGTGTTTACTCCCGTTGCAAGATTTTCCAAAGGTACAGCATAGACCCCTGACTTCTCAAGAGTGGAAAATTTGTCTCTATCATTACAAATAAGTTTGTGTAGGTTTGGAAGTGGGGTTAGTGGTAGTACAAGATTGTGCTGCTTAAAGATTCTGCAGATGCATATAGAGAGGGGTCCAAGGTATGGCAACGATGTTTGTACGATCAAAAACTCCCTCTTGCTAATTTTGTCTTTTTATCTTGTAGCTTTAAAAAGCCAAAATTTAATAATTAAATTGCATTTTAATTCAGTTTAATATTTAATTTTGAACTATTCAAAATTAAATCTAAGACAAAAAAATCACCAAAGAGTTTTTTCTATAAATAACTAGCTTACCCCATCGCGCATTGCTGCGATCTCAGAAGAAATGGAATTCAAGCAAACTCGTTATGATAAAATTAAATTTACATTTCATCATTTTTATTGAAACTTATTATTATTATTCATTTTCATCGGGAAAACATTTCAAAGTGTCGTTTCAATTTTATTTATTTATTGGAGTGCTTTGTGGATACCAGCCAGTTAGGAGTTGCTGGATACGGTGGATGGACTGCGGGCTAAGGCCACACCACTTTAGGCAGGAGAGGATGGTGGAGTGTGGGACCGAGCCAAAGGCATTGGCAAGGTCTAACCACGCTATGTGGCACTCCTTGTTTCTACGCCGGGCATCCTGGATGATGGATTGGAGCACAAATGTGTGCTCAGAACAGCCCTCAAATCGCATAAAGCCTTTCTGCGCGGTGGAAATGGTGTTATTCTCTTCACACCAGCGCAGGAGGCGATTAGCGATGCAGGCGGCGTAAATCTTGCCAAGGGTGTTTGCTAAGGCGATAGGACGCCAGTTGCAGATGTCGTCGTGACTGCCCTTCTTGTGGAGGAGGATTGTGGTCGAGGTTCTCCATGCCGATGGGATGGCTCCAATGCGGTGGACAGCGTTAAACAGCGATGCAAGGATGTGGCCCTGAGGGTCGAGACGTCTCCAGGTGTAGTAGCGGATGCCATCAGGGCCCGGCGCTGTGTTGTGGCATTTGGCGAGTCTGGTTGAAACCTCGACAGGGGTGAAAGTGCAGTTGAGGGGGTCGTCGCTCGTTGGTTGGAGGGGTGGT